GGAACGTGCGTCTCCAGGGCGTCCCATTATCAGTTGGAGACTCTGTGTTTCCTATTTCACAATGCTAACATGTGGGGTTCTTTTCTGAGCTCGTTGCATGAACTTACAGGAAGTTCTTCTCTACAAAGACAAGGAGATGACACTATCTGTGCAGTCATTGTCAGCTGCTGGCCCTGGGCAAGAAGGTGGGCACCCGCCTCTCCACCATCCCATCAGCCCTATCCCAGGGTCACTGTGGGGACCACATGAGACAAGACAGAGTTATCCTGAGAAGCACAAATATAGCACCTACACAACACAGTCCAACTATCAGGAAGGCTGCAAAATCGGAGGCAGGAGAATGCTCTGTAAGGAGGCCCGGCCTCGTCAGATGGCCCTGAGCTCCAGCCATGGCTCCAAAATTCACTAGTGTAACCTTTGACATGTACCCTGGGCCCTCAGTCTCTACTTCTGCAAAAGAAAGGATAATAAAGTAACTATCACATAAGGTCACTACGAGGATTAAAGTAAATTCTGTATGTAAAGTTCTTAGCAGGGCAGACAGCACGTGGTAAGCGCTGCGTGTTCACTAGTCATTCCAATTCTTATCCAGAAAGCACGACCAGTAAGGACCAGAAATGTGGCAGATAAATCATGCTCAGAGCCATCTTCCTCCTAAACCCACCCAAGGTCTCCAACTCAGCGATGTCCCATCCTTGAGGGACCATCTCTGTCATGTTGTATAGGAACTGCTTGCTTGTATAACAGAAATTTCTATAACACCCCAACTCATCTCTCACGGACATATGACACAAGAGATATAGAAATATTATCAGCTCCTGACTCCCCAAGCCCAAAGCGAAGATAATTCAAAATAGTAGATATGAGTGGGGAGAGGAAACAATCTTCACTCACTTACGTCCATATTAAAATTAGCTTATATTTCTTGTCCATGTTGACAGCAAGGGAAAGCTGGCTGTCAGAGGAAAGCTAGTTGGAGATTTAGAAGTGGCCACAGATAAGCCAATATATAGATAGCACAGACAAGAAAGAAAACAGAACTATATGTAAGTTCTGAAGAATTAGTTAAAAGTGTATTATGGACCCAGCTCAAGTCGCAAAAATTGATCAGGGAAAATTTTACTACAGAATAACCCAAAAACAGAGGAGCATTTGAAATGTAAGTACTGATTAAAAGGGAATATCTGTACGCTGAAAAGGAGGGATAAAACTGAAATAGAAGCTATCTCAGAGAGTTGTGGAAAGACTCAGCTGATGGCAAAGACTTTTTTTGGCACACAGTGTCTGGTACTGTGTCCCCAGGCACACTAAGGCCCTCTCCCAGGGAGTTTTAATTTTATTTTTAATTGAGATATAATCCACATATAACATTATATTAATTTCAGGTACACAACATAAGGAATCATTATTTGTATATACTGCAAAATGATCACCACATTAAATCTAGTTAACATCCATCCATCACCACATACAGTTACTTGTGATGAGAACTTTTAAGATCTACTCTCTTAGAAAGTTTCAAATATGCAATACAGTGCTATTAACTACAGTTACTATGCTGTACAGAGAGTTTTGATATATATATAATTTTTTTTGGTGAGGAAGATTGGCCCTGAGCTAACATCTGTTGCTAATCTTCCTCTTTTTGCTTGAGGAAGACTGTTGCTGAGCTAACATCTGTGCCAATCTTCCTCTGTATGTGGGATGCTGCCACAGCATGGCTTGATTAGCGGTGTGTAGGTCTGTGCCTGGGATCCAAACCCACGAACCCTGGGCTGCTGATGCAGAGTGTGCCAACTTAACCACTATCCCACTGGGCTGCCCAGAGAGTTTTGATTTTAAAAAAGGAAAGCCAACTTAGAACAGCCGCCTTGGGGTACCTTTCAGTGGTAGGACGCATTAGCTAAGAGGTTGAATGAAATACTAAATCAGTCTGTGAGCAGTCTGTTGCCTGTGTGCCTTATCCAGTAATTAAATTTTACTATTTAGAAAATAAAGTAAATATTTACCAAAGGGTGGGAACACCATGTGGTATCTGGACGGTAACCTGAGAAAGCCACAAAAAGAGCCGTGGCCTCTCAAGCATTCCCAACCTCTGGAAGTCAGGTGACAAGTGCAACAGCCTATGGACCAGACTTCTAACAAAGTACTGTTCACCCAGGGCCCTGGAAGCTACTTCCCACAACACTGGTACTAAGGCCTCGAGGCAGCACGCTTATTTAATGTGGAGGACACATTATTTCCATTTCTGAATACACAGTACAACATGCACCAGAGTGCAAGGCCTCTCCCTCCCTCTGGGAGTTCCCCAGTGGGGACCGAATTCACACCCAGGGATGGCTGTGGATCCGTTACTGCTGCTCGTGGTGGTTTCCGAGGCTGCGTGGATGGCTGCAGCTACATCTGCAGGCAGGAAACGGCCCGCGGAGCACTGTCCTCGGGGGTGAACTGTGACATCATACCAACTTTTTTTCTTGACTCATGGCATATATGAATAGGGAAGTGAAAAGCAACTGAAGCCACTTCAAACTGAAGGGGAAAACTCACTTCACCTGCTGGGGCCTCTGCCACTTGCTAGGGTAGGCAAGTTATTTACCAACGATGTGACAATAATAATAGCTCCCGGTCATGGAGAGCTATGTTGTGAATGCTGCTGAGTACTTTGCATAACTTAATGCTTAACTTGAATTTCCTCATCTATAAATGAAAGATGATGACGCACCTATTTCATTATGTTATTATGAGGATTAAAGAATAGGTGGAAAAAGCACTTTCAAGTCGAGGCGGCACGATCAAAAAGATCCGAAACAGACAGACATGGGTTAAAATCTCAACTCCGATTTCCACTATTTGATCTCATGGAGCTTCAGTTTCCTCACCTCCAGAGTGGAGATGAAGCCACCCACGCCAGCGAGGAACCGAGGGAGACAGTAAGCCAAACCCCAGCTGTCTGCATCACTGGGAGGTGTTCAATTATTACTTGTACCTCACTCCTATTATACACATGAACTGCTTCTCTTCTCCGTCGGCAGCCATTCAGTGTCTGTAGTATCCAAAGATGCGTGTCCTTCCACAACAATGATACTGTCACACAGTCTGATACGCCAGACACGGGTTGAACAGCTTCATGTCTATGAACTCATTTAGTCCTCACCACAATCCAGGGAGGTAGGTGCTACTCTTATTCCCATTTTACAGATAAAGACACCGAGGCACACAGTCTAGGTAACCTGCCCAGATTCAAAAAGATGGTACCAGAGCCGGCAGCCCGGGCTACCCAGTCTGTCCTTGTAACAATGATGCAAAAGTGCTTTTGGGGGTCAACTTGTTGGAGATTTCATGCTTTGATTTATCTCTTGTAAAGATCAGCAATGGATGGTCTCACCGACCACAATGTGTTGACTTGACTACCTTTTCAACCTTTGAAATACCATTTTGTGTATTTGCTTAGAATTCTTTAAAAAACTATGACACGTTTTAAAATGAGGTGCCTATAACTAGTTCATCTCGTTCTATATGCTGGAATAACATAAATGTCCTTTTTCTCTCAAGACGACCTATATAAATCTTACATTAAAATACACTCCTGAGTTTTGGGTTAAACAATTATTACACGTCCAAATTAAAAAATTAGGGCAGCCTTAATGTCATCTGTTTTGTTAAATTAATGACTTCTATACCAAATAATCTGAATATTCTCCTTATTTCTAATGTCCACTGTTTTAACAGTCACTGCAGTACCGTATGGTATTTCAAAGTATTCCTTTTACAAATTTAATCAACTCCAATATTAAATATCAGTGATGACAATCTATTGCTCTGCTTTAAAGGAAGCTCTAGGGGACCAATAAGAAAGAAAGGTTAAAGAATTCTATCCTTCAAAGTGCGACAGGACAGCTACCTATAAATCATGCTCTTTCTTTATTAAGATAATTAAGCCCATTGGTACACTTCACTTGCAGACTTTTAACTCTCAACAATTGTCAGGCAGGAACAATTTCCACTTTTTCTAAAACAAAGGGGATGTGTTCAGAAGGGGTCCCTCTGCAAGCTCTCTGCACAATGCACGCTATTTTAAAACATGATTTATGTGTCTAATTCCTGAAGCTGCCTTGGAAAATATACTGGGCTTTTCCCCGCATGCTCCCTATTAGGACAAGACTCTCCAATTTGAAGAGCGCACTCTGTTTCAGACTACAGGCCGCTATATCATGTCAGCATTTTCATTAAATTCTGTTCAAGCTGGACCTTCCACAAATAGAATGGAAAGCCACAGCTGCAGCCACTGCAGAGACAGAGTTCTCCCGACGGGCGCTTACATAAGAGGCGCAGGACAGTCAGGGCGAAGGAAACACAAGTGTCATCCTCTGAATCCTATTCCTTTAGGACTAGCCCGCATTCTTCAAGTGCATGAAATCACACACACAGAATGGATTTCTCATTTTATTTGTCTTATAGCACAAAACGCTGGATTGACGTGTAAGTTTTTTCCCTTAAAGGACTGGGATCCAATTATTGGAAACGTTGGCAACTTCTGCCTAGAGGAAGAGCAAAGTGGGATGCGCGGGAAGCTTGGAGGCCTGGGAAGGGAAGGCTTAGCTCCATCCCCAAAGATCCACCGCATCCAGGAATACGACAGGAGTCACTCCCCTGAGGACTTAGGATAAAGGTGACAAGACTCTGCACGCACCCCCAACCCCCCCAACACACACCCCCCCCGAGTCAAGAAGCTGGGCATGTGCCGTCAGCAGCAGCCGAGATGCCCTGAGAGCACCTGTCCTCTCCCTGCACATCGCCACCGGCACGGCCGTCAGAGGCCGGAGCCCCCGCCCGGACCGCAGCCTCTCCCCGCGGCCGCGGCCGCTCTCCGCACCCGAACTCCCGCAGCTGGAGCCCTGCGACCGAGAGGGGCCGCCCCCTCTTCCCACGACAGGCAGATGCTGAAAACCAGCCTCGCCTTCCCCGGCTCCCTGCAACTTCGGAAACTACGGTCAACTTACCGGGACGCGGAGACAGGGCGCCTTCGGGGGGCCGTGCTGCCCCAGCCGCCTCGCTCCGCCGTGCCCGGCGCGGGGACCTGGGCAGGGCGCAGCGCCCGGCGGCGGCGGCGACAGCGGCGGCGAGCGCGGCTGCACCGGCGCGCGGCCCCGGACGGCGGCGCTCCGAGCGCCCGCGCGCGGCTCGGGCTCGGGCTCGGCGGGGATCGCGGCCCCGGCAGGACGGCGGCAAGCGCAGAGCCGAGGCGCTGGCACCCGCACAGCCGCAGCGCGCTCCGGGCGCCGGGTCACATCGCGGGCGGCCGGGCTCCGCCGGCCCGCAGAGCGCCCTCGCCGCCGCGCCGCGAGAATGACAGCCGCCGAGGCCGGGCGGCCGGGCGGGCGCGGGGCGCCAGTGCGCATGAGCCCGGCCCGCTGCGGCACGTCACCCGGAGGGAGGAGGGGGGAGGAGGGAGGAGGAGGAGGGAGGAGGCGGAGGGAGAAGGGAGGCAGCGGCGGGGGGGGAGGGAAGGAGGGAGGGGGCGCGCCGGGCGGGGCCGGGCGGGGGGCACCCGGGCGCAGCGCCCTGCCCGCGCGCCCAGGGTGTACAGGAAGTCTCCCGCCTCGGAGGAGCTGAACCTCCAGCTGTGTGGGTGAACTTGTTTGTCTCCAGAGCCCATTGTCCCTTAAGAACCACTGTTTACTCTCAACCGTCTTTAGGACGCCGGGCAGGCCCGCAAAAGCCGGTGCAACTCAGGTTATCGCTGAACCTGGAAGGGCTGCGCTTTAGGGACAGTGGCCTTCCGCCTGGGCTGGACAGGAAAATACCTTGGGCAGCTTGTAAGAGCCCTTTGCCCCGGCCGCGCCCCGGAATCCAGAGGGAGGACGTGAGAATCTCCGGGTGGGGCCCAGGTATCAGGAGGTTGTAAAGGTTCTCAAGTGATAGCGAGGGAGGTGTATCCAGCAGAGCTTCTCAAACCTTTAATGGGCGACCGAATCTCCCGGGGGTTTTGTTTAAATGCAGATCCTGATTCGGGAGGTCTGGGCGCTACGGGGGGGATTCTTTATTTTTAACAAGCTCTCTTTTGATGCCAGCGCTGCAGGTCCAGACCACCCACCCTTGCTACTCAAAGTGTGGTCTAGAGGCTGGAGCAGAGCTTCTGAAACGTTGGTCTGTGTGGGAATCACCTGAGTAGCTTTTCAAAAATGCAGGGCGCATTCCCAGGCCCTACCCACAGAGGTTCCGGTTCAGCCGCTGGGCAAAGGTGGGGCTCAGGAATTCCATTGGTAAGAAGCACTCTGGACAAGTCCCATATAGGTGTTATTTGGACCAAACTTCAGGATATTAGATCAGCAACCTGCGGCTGGGTATTGACTTTTGCAGGAAGAGAAATCAGGACGTCAGACTCCGAGTCCAACTGGCGCTTTGTTTGACTAGTCCAAATTTTCTACGATTATTATGCATTACTTTTAGTAAGAAAAATATGTAAACACACAATACATACAGTGTATTCATTACACATATTATTAAAGGGGGCTTAAAGTTGACTGGGGAAGAAGGCTCCTTAGGCGGGGAGGGGTGGGAGTAGGGAGTAGAGTGATGGAGTGAGGGATGTGAGATGGCTTGTTGGTTAGGAGGCTGCGGAAGGAAGCGTGTGTAGGAGGAGGCAAACCTTGGACTGACCTAGAGCCTGGGCAGGCCCCTTGGAGAAGAGGATCCAGGGACCAGGCTTGGCCTCCTGCTGGTAGCACAAGGTGAAACTCAGGTGTTCAGGACCCTATGGATGTGTGGCCCGTCACATCCATTACCTCATGGAAATCTCACAGTGGTCTCAAATTGGATAAAAAAGATGTTATGCCCATTATACAGATTTAAAAATGGACGCTCTGGGCATTGACTTACTCAGACAGTGGAATTTGAGCAAGAGTACACATGTGAGTGTTGGGCGTGGCTTCTATAACTAAGGAAAACGATTCAGATCTTACAAAGAAATGGTTTCTGTGTTTACTATTCACATCATTTAAGGCTGGGCCTGAATTTTGAGTTAGAAAGGCTTCCATTTTTTGTAGGGAGGAAATACGTTTTGTGTCTTCACCCCACTTCTGCAGCTCCACGAATTAGGGGGTAAAATGTTGCTCTAAGAGCATGCCAGTCCTAGGGCAGTGCAGTCACATAGTGCAGGCGTTGCCGAGAGGTTCAGACAGCAACACGCATATTTTCTGGTGACAAGCGCAATTACCATCGTCATTTTATCCAGGCCCAAAGAAGCTAAGTGATTTAGACAAACTCCAGGCAGGAACCAGTCTCAAGCCTCGTCCTTTTCCTCTGCTCTCCTTTCACCAAATGACATCCTGAAGATGGTTTTTCATTTTCAAGTTGTTCACACCAGGATTTGCCATCAGTAAATTAGAACCCAAATGTATGTCAAAGCCACTCCTTGATGTAGAACCAGAAGTGTCAGGAACAATTCTTCTGCTTGTGATAAATGCTATGGACTGTACTTCTGATCTGAATACAGTCTTGGAAGAAAGTATGTGATATTTATATGCAAACTCCCAATCCAGAGGTTTGCCTTGGAATGCTACACGGTCAACTGTGTCCTCCCCACCTTTATCTGTCCCTCCAGCCTGGCTCTTCTATTAGAGCTACCCTTCTGTGCGATTTGAGATTAAAAAAAAAAAAAAGAAAGAAAGAAATGAATTCCTAATTAAAAGAGAATTCTCTGTAAATGAGGGAGCTCCAATCAAAATATTTATCTGTATAGTATATGAATTCATTTGCATATTGCCTTTAAGCTATCTAGGATTTTATTACATAAAAATTTCATCAGTATGTCCCACTGCCATGGTGTTGTGAGCCACTATTATTAGCATTAAACTCAGGAAAGGTGTAATGTTGGCTTGATATTGACTGTGTCCTGATATTGACCGTGTCTCATTTAGAATTTGTTTCTCATTAGCTGCCATTGTTGTCTAGCAGGAACAGCAGCTAGGTTTTTTCCTCTGAGGTCTGTATTCCTTATGGGTCAGCAAAGGCTGCTCTTCGGCTGAGAATTCCTTCCTTCAATGCCTCTAAAAGTTCCAACAGTGAGGATTTCAATTATAGAGAAGCTAGTGACTCCTTTGAACCTATTCTCTGCTCATTCGAGAAGCTATTCCTAGAATAGATTTTTATGAAACTTTCTGCTAAGAATCACAGGCTTCTCCCTGACCTCAGCTTTGGCCCCCAAATTCTCCATAGTTAGTAATTACGTTTCTTCATCCATTTCATTCAATGGGATTCTTTGACATGAAAATCTTGCAGCCTCTGCCTACTTCATAGTTACAGTCCAGATGAGAGAAGTGTGGGAGTCCAAGGTGACTGGCACAGCTGAGACAGAAGTGGGAACATAGAATTAGATTTCACTAGGGAAAAATAAGGCTGCCATAAACGTTAATACCAGTTGTGCTTGATTTTTAGACATGGTTTATTACCAAGTTTGCCTTGTTTGAACACATGCAGCTGCTGGAAACTTCACAGGAAACCCTAAGCAAGTCCCTGGTGGGATGTGGGGGTGGGGGTGAGAGTGGGGATGGAGAAATCAGCGTTCTGTCTTCTTTTCCTGGGAAAGTTTTGAAAACTATTGGAAAGCTCGATTCCTCTGGCCCCAACACAGGAAACTTACCCAGTGCCTGCGTTTCAAATGTTTACTTCTAAATTATTTGTTCTAAAAAATTTGTTTAGAATTTAGAGCAATGTAATAAATGATCTGGATTTTAGGCTAGCTCCAAAAAGTTTTTTGATCCCACGAATAAGTTAATACAGTGTTCATTGTAACTCCAAGCCTGAAAGGAAATAGGCGCCAGGGGAGGATTCTGGCCCAAGGATGGGGTTTGGGGCTGGGGAAGACGAAATTTAAAGATGGAAGAGCAAGACTGGCTATGGTGTTTGGTGGCCGAGGAGCAGAGGCTGGTGAAGACTGGATATCAGCAGCCTCTGAGATAAAGTTGGGAGAAGTATGGGCCTGTGACCAAGAAGAAAAGTGGCAGTTGTAGCTGTACCTGCAGCTTACTGCTTGCCTGTACTTCAAGTAAGTGTCTCACATTTGACTTAATCTATAGGGAAGAATGATCAGAGATTAATAAATAGGTTATAAATCCCTTAAAAATAGATAAATGCTTTAAAGAAATGGACATTCAATCTTAATCTCTGAGAATTGCCTACCTCTCCCTCCCAACCAAGTTGCCCACTGATGGAAGGAAAAGGCGGCCGGTGGAGAGGCCACGTTCACAGTCAGAATCACCCAGAATTGTTTGGTTCCGGCTCCCAGCATCTCCCTCTGTCGGCTGTAATCCACATTGCTGCCATCTTTGATAACCTACCACGGAGGGACAATAGCTTCAAGCACGTAGTAGCTTCCTAATAAATGCTGGTTGTTAGTATTAGCTTTTTTTCTCTCTCTTAGAGTTAAAATCTGTAGCTAGATGTCTCTGAATGTCCCTTTTATCATTTTAATGCAGGCAGTGATTAACTGTAGTTTTTAAAGGAGTGCTTTCCTTTTCCATCAGAAGACTCGAGAATGACTTCAGGCCTCCTCTGAGAACAGGGGAATCATGTGGAAAAGGCTTTCGGGGGAGATCAAGATAAAGCCTGCTAATGTTACTCTGTGGCCTCACACTGTATTGCCGAGGAAAAGGCAGGGGTTAGGACTTGACACGTCCAGCTCTTTCTACTGGGAGAAAGAAATGATGGTGGGAAGAGAGACCGCATACAAAAGTGAGAACGGAGAGCGCCTTAAGGAAATGTCTTTATATTACAGATCAAAGAATGGATATTCCCATCATCCTTTGTCATCCTGACCTTACGCATTCCTTGAATTCCTATCCTGACATCATCGCTCAAGATTTGTGGCTGTAAAACTGATGTGGATACTCATAATGTTGGCAGAGATTCCTTATGTTTGTTTTTAAATTCTTACATCCATAGAATACAATTCTTACAAACCTATATTTTAAGTAGGCATCAGAGGAAACTGTGTGTTTCATTAGTCATAAGTCATTCACCAGCCAAGAAACAAGAATTCAGGATTGAGAAAGGAAGATGAATAAAGTTAGAGTTTCACCTCCAAGAGAAGCTAGTTGCACAGGCTGCAGTGTCAGAA